ATTCTTGGTAGTCTAGGTAAAAATTTAAACAACCTCAAAAGATTTTAAATTGTTACAGACTAAGTTCTAGGCATGTTGGACTCCAGATATGTCTGAAAGAACTTAAAATTCAGATGGACTAAAATATGTAAGATAAGCTATCTTGCAAAATACATTTTTCTCAGTGTAAAAACTAATCTATACTTATAGGAAGTACATATATATCATTTAGAGTCTGGGCATGGCTAAAGTTTCCTTCTTAATAAATACATATCAAATCAGTAAATTTCCTTCTTAATAAATATATGTCAAATTGATAGATGTAAAACATTAAATATATTACATATGTATATGACAGATCATACTGTTCCTCTGCTCAAAATTCTTCTGTGGAGTTTCTATCACAATGAAGTAATACCCACACCCAAAGTCCTTCTGATGACCTACAAAGCCTTCCGTTCTAGACACTCTGACTTTATCTGACAACATACTTTCTTCTTACTATTTCCACTCTGTTAGGTAGCTAGTCAGGCATGAGCAACAGAGGAACAAAGGAATGGAGGCCCAGCCCAGACACCACCCAAAGAACACCCCAAAGAATCCCTCCTGCGTCCCAGGAGACAAAGGACAGGAGGGCTATAACCTAGAGCTGGTTTAATCTGGCCACAGAAGCGTGTACAGAAGGTACTACTCTAACCTGTCCACAGCCTCAGCCTCATTTTACCATTATTTTAATACCATGTTTATGCCTGGAAGTTCATGAAGCTAATTATAACAGTCTGAATTCTGGGTAAGCACTTTCGTACTAGACAGAGTTATACAACAGCCAAGTATCAATCAAAATAACCTCACATGCCAATCACCTAGGAATGCCTTTGTAACCACCCATCATGGCCCCAATATAATACAGACCTTCCCATTTCTGTGCTGCTACAGCTCTCTTTGCTGAAAATCCGCTCCTCCCTTGGGGTGTATTCTATCTTTTATTTCTTTTATCCTTTCACCTCCCAAATTCCACACGGCTGCAGCCTTCCTCAGTGTGTCCTGTCTCCTTCTAAAATATACCTTTAATAAATCTTTTTTCTAAATTTCGCTGGCCTGTGATTCTTTGCTGCCTCAGTGGGGAAGAACCAAGGAAAAATGCTAACTGCACTTCTGCATCGCTATCCTTCCCATGCCGCTGGGGCGACATTGGAGTTCAATTCTCCCCGAAACTGAAACAAAACTATACTGTTCTTCTTGCAATTCCTCAAACACATCAGGATCATCGCTGGTTCAGTGTCTTGTTTTTGTTCCATCTTCCTGGAAGAGTCTTTCCTTTTTTTTCTGGAAGACTGGCTCTCTCACTTCTCTCTGCTCCTAATGCTGAGCTTCGGGCCTACTTGGAGGATGTAGACAATAAAATAGCATACTAGCAACCATATAATTTCAAATTTTAATAAACCTATGAAGAAAATACATCATTGTAAAGCCATTCAATGAGAAATGTCCAAGAATATTTCTTGATTCTAAAATGATGGACACCCTCAAGAAACTAAATAATCTTGTTAACTTTCCTGTAATCCAGTCCCCACCTTGTTTTTTCCCACCTCTTCCTTAATTTCAAATGCATAAAAGAAGCTGCAAAACTTTTATTCTAGGGAGCAATAGAGATCTTGCTCCCTGGCACATGTTGAGAGTTTGGCTCAAATAAACTCTTACAAAAATTCTCCAGGTTTGAACATTTCTTACATTGACAACACTTTTCTCCTTTGATAACCTATAAA